GGGAATGGGGGGTGGGGGGGAATAAACCGGGAATGGGGGGGAAAAATCCGAGAATTGGGGGAAAATGCGGGAATGGGAGGAAATAAACCGGGATGGGGGAAAGAACACCGGGAATGGGGGAAAAGACGGGAATGCGGGGTGGAAAGTCGGGGAATGGGGGAGGAAAAACGGGAATGGGGGGAGAAAAACACCGGGAATGGGGGGGAAATCGGAGAACGGGGGGTGGGGGAATCCGGGCACCGGGAATGGGGGGGGGAAATCGGAGAACGGGGGGTGGGGGAATCCGGGAATGAGGAAAATGCGGGAATGGGGGGAAAAGCGCCGGGAACGCGGGCGCGGAGCGGGCGGAGCGCGCAGAGATGGCGGGGGCTGCGCTGACCCCCGACCCCGGAGCAGAGCCCGGATCAGCCCGGATCAGCGCCGGGCACAGCTCCCGCCGCCTTCCCGGGGAAAAACACCGGGAAAAGAGAATTCCCGCAATTCCAGAGCCCCCCGGCCGCTCCAGGGGGCTGCAGGGCGTTTGGGGAAGGAGATGCCGGAATCCTTTTCCTTTTCCTTTTCCTTTTCCTTCCCTTTCCCTTTTCCTTCCCTTTCCCTTTCCTTTCCCCTTCCCTTCCCTTCCCTTCCCTTCCCTTCCCTTCCCTTCCCTTCCCTTCCCTTCCCTTCCCGCTGGGAAATGCCTTTGGAAAGCTGGGGATGCGGGGAGAGGGGACCCGCTGGCACCCAAGGGGTTAATTCCGGATTTGATTTTCCCGGAGTTTTTTTTTTTTGAGGAATTCTCCCATGGACAAGGGAGCAGCCAGGTGTGCCCAAAAAATCGATTTTTGGGGGCGCTGGGGTGCCCCAAATCCCTCCAGGATTCCCCTTTTCCGCCTCTCATCCCAAAAAAAGCAGAGCCCGGATCAGCCCGGATCAGCCCGGATCAGCGCCGGGCACAGCTCCCGCCGCCTTCCCGGGGAAAAACACCGGGAAAAGAGAATTCCCGCAATTCCAGAGCCCCCCGGCCGCTCCAGGGGGCTGCAGGGCGTTTGGGGAAGGAGATGCCGGAATCCTTTTCCTTTTCCTTTTCCTTTTCGGCGCTGGGGTGCCCCAAATCCCTCCAGGATTCCCCTTTTCCGCCTCTCATCCCAAAAAAACTCCGGGAAAATGGGAATGAGGGTCCTGGCCTGGGCTAATTAACAGCAATTAAGGGTTAATGAAGGGCTGGAGGGGCGATGGAACCGCTGGAATTCCAGGAGGGAGAGAGGGAAGAGCTTGGAGCAAAGCCCAGCCCGGGAAACTCGGGATGCAGAGAATTCCTGGAAGGAAAATTGAAATTATTCCAAAACAATCCAGGGATCCTGAGGTGGAACAACGCCGGGAACGGGAACGGGCATTTCTTTATTTTCATTTCCTTTTGTTTTCTTTGGGACCAGAGCCAGGAAAACCAGGAAAACCAGGAAGGAAAATCCATTCCCAAGGCCAGGATAACCTGGATTTTTAGGGAATCCTGGAATAATTTGGGTTGGACGGAGCTGAAGTGTCCCAAGCTGGAATTTTAAGGAATTCCTCTTTTTTTTCCAGCCCCATTTCCCCATCCCCGCGATCCTGTCATGTGGAAATGAAGGAATGTTCAGGGATTTTCAGGAATTTTAAGGGATTTTCAGGGATTTTTCGGAATTTTCAGGAATTTCAGAGGGATTTTCAGGGAATTTTTGAGGAATTTTAAGGCATTTTCAGGAATTTTAGGGGGATTTTAGGGAATTTTTTCAGAATTTTCAGGAATTTTAAAGGATTTTAGGGAATTTTTGAGGAAATTTTTGGAATTTTCAGGGATTTCTAGGATTTTTCAGGGATTTTCAGGGATTTTAAGGGAATTTTAGAGGGATTTTGAGGAATTTTTCAGAATTTTCAGGAATTTTCAGGGATTTTAAAGGATTTTAGGGACTTTTGGAGGAATTTTTGGGCTTTTTTCAGGGATTTGAAGGGGTTTTAGGGAATTTTAAGGGATTTTCAGGGATTTTAGGGAATTTTGGAGGAATTTTAAGGGATTTTCAGGAATTTTTCAGGGATTTTAGGGAATTTTTGAGGAGTTTTTCAGAATTTTCAGGGATTTGAAGGGGTTTTAGGGAATTTGGGGATTCTCAGGAATTCCCGCGTTCCCCAGCCCCCGCCGGTGGGGAAGGCTCCGCGGGACAGACGGATCCCCCCAGAGCTTTTCCAGAACGTTCCGGAGGGCCGGGCCCCGGATTTGGGGTGACGGAGCCGAGGGACGGAGGAATTTGGGGGAAGTTTTGGGGAAATCCGGAGTTTTCTGGGGTGGGGGTGGGGAAGGCCGCGGTGCGCCGGGATCCGTCCCAATCCCAGGGAAGAGAGAAACAAACCCAGGGAATGGGGGATCCCAAATTTAGAGGTGGGGACCCCAAATCCAGGGAATAGAGAACCAAATCCAGGGTTTGGGAGCCCCCAAATTGAGAGGTGGGACCCCAAATTCAGGGAACGAGGGATCCCAAATTTAGGGATGCGATCCCAAATCCAGGAATCCCAGAGCCAGCGGAAGGGGGGACGCCCCCAAACCCCACAGAACTGGGGGGACCCTCAAAGCCCCCTTTGGGACCCCCCAAACGCCCCCGGGGCCGCTCCCCGAGCACCCAAGCGGGGACAAAGGGCAGAATTTGGGGTTTTTTGTCCCCGGGACCCCAAAATCCCCTCAGGGCACGGCGATGACGTCACGGGAAGGCCACGCCCACGACACTATGGCGGCGCGGCAAATCTCGCGAGAGTTCGCGGTGTCACGAGGTTATAAGTAGCCCGGCTGAGGGACGCGGCCCTCAGAGCCCGCCCAGCCGGGGGCGGGCGCGGAGCGGGGGGGGTTGCTGCGCTGCGGGCCCGGCCGGGCCCCGTCATGGCGGCGTTCGTGAGGGGAGAGGGGACAAACCCCGGGAATTCCCGCCGGGAATTCGCCAGTTCCTCCTTGGAGTGGCATCCCAGCCTTGGAGTGACAGCGCTGTCCCCCTGTCCCGCTAGGCCCTGGCTGGGGGCGCTGGAAGAGCCGTGCGGGGAAACTGAGGCACGGTGCATCCCGCGTTTCCATTTTTCCGTGTAAAATCCGTGAAAATCCCTCCTGATTCCTCCTCTTCCTCTTCCAACAGCCCGCGGTTTAAGGAGAATTCTAATAAAATTGGTTTATTTGTGGTGTTTTGTCACCAGGCCGGGGAAGGGAAGGGCTGGAAGGTGAAATTCCAGCGGGAAGGGGAAAAAACTGGGAATTTTCCTTCTAAAAGCCAAATTCCGGATTCCGTGAGGGAATCCTGATTTAATTATTGGATTAAAATCGGTTTTATATAAAGGGAAGCACAAGGAAGGATGAGGCGAGGGATTTGTGATGAAAATTCCCGGGGAATAAATGGGGATAAAGCCAGGAATAAATCAGATAAATCCCTGGAATAAATTCATCTGGAAGTTCGGTTTTTTTAGAATTGTGGTTGCCACCAAAACCCCTCCAGGGATTTGGGAACGCTGGAATTGTAGGAATTAGGGATGGAGATGGAAAACATTCCTCTTCCCCTCCATCCATTCCTCAGTTCTCCCAGAAAAACGATTAAGGAATGACAAAAATCTCCCTTTTTTAGGTAAAATACCTCCCAAAATAAAAGCAAAACTCAGAGCCACTTAATTTTTTTTTTTAACCATTTATATTTATATATATATATATAAAAAAATTAAATATATATAATATATCGTGTTTAAGACTAAAAATATAGTACAGAATATTAAAAAAAAAAGGAAAATGCAACATAAAAAAAAAATGGGAATGGGGAGAGATCGCGGAATTTCGGGGGGAAAAGGAACGGGGGAGGGTCTCTAAACCAACCTGTGCTAAAAAAAAAAAGGGGGAAATTCCATTTTCCAGCCCCAAAGTGGGGTTGGAATTTTAAAGCTTCCCGGTGGCCGGGGCGGGGCTCCCCCTCTTCCCGTGGGATATTGCTCTGGAGTTTGGGGTGCAGCACCTGGAGCGGGAATTCCCTCCCCCCTCTGGAGTTTGGGGTGAATTCAGGCACCTTTGGGATCCCCGGGGTTTTGGGCCCGTCCTGACGGGACCGTTTTTTGTGGTTTTTTTGGGAATTTCGGGAGAAGGAAATCGGGGGGGGGGAGGGTCCCAGGGCTCGTACCGGGATTGGCAATGGGGGATTTGGGAATTCGGGGGATTTTGGGAAGCTCCAGACCCCGGGGCGGGCCCTTGAGGGGAGGGGAGGGGTCTCGTACCTAATCCCAGGGTTTTTTGGGAATCGACCGGGAATTCCCTCCAAAATTCACCTGCAAAATCCTCAATCCCAAACTGGGGCTCCTTTGGGAATTGGGGTAGGAATTCCTTCCAAAATTCACTCACAAAATCCCAAATGGGGCTGGGAATCCTCTGGGAATTCCCTCCAAAACTCAACCCCCAAATCCCCAGTCCCAAATTGGGGTTCCTTGGGGAATTTGGGAATTGGGGCTGGGAATTCCCTCCAAAATTCACCCGCAAAATCCCAAATTGGGGCTGGGAATCCTCTGGGAATTCCCTCCAAAACTCAACCCCAACAAATCCCCAATCCCAAACTGGGGCTCCTTTGGGAATTGGGGCTGGGAATTCCCTCCAAAACTCGCCCCCCCCACATCCCCAGTCGCAACCCGGGGTCCCCAGTGCCCCCCAGTCCCCGGCACTGGGAGAGGGGCCCGGCCGAGCTCCTGACCCCGATGTTTCGGTTTGCCGGGATTCCCGGGAATGCGATTCCCAGCGGGATTTACATTCGCAGGAGGGACCCCCCAGCTCTGGGGGCACCCCGGGACGGGGGTTGGGGGATCCCAGCGCCGCCTTTCCCATGGGAACGATGTGCGTATGGAACGGGGGGCTGCTCCCAAGAACCCCCAATTCCCACCGCTCCGGGGGGATTTGGGGATGGGGGAGAACGGGGGGCAGCCGTCCCTGAGGGAGGGGTGGCCCCAAAATCAAGGCACAGGGAATGGGAATGGTTCGGGATGGGGCGTCTTTGTGGGATTTGTGCGTCCCCTCTGGATCTGGGGACACCAGAACCCTCCCGCTGATCCCGATGGGAATGGCAATGGTTTGGGATGGGGCTGGTTTTGGGATTTGCGTGTCCCTCTGGATTTGGGGACACGCAGAACCCTCCTGCTGATCCTGGTGGAATGGAATGGTTTGGATGGGGTTTTTGTAGGATTTGTGCGTCCCTCTGGATTTGGGGACATGCAGAGCCCTCAGGGAATGGGAATGGTTCGGGATGGACTGTTTTTGGGATTTGCACATCCCTCTGGATTTGGGGATGTGTGGATCCCAATGGGAATGGGAGTGGTTTGGGATGAGGCTGTTTTTGGGATTTTCGTGTCCCCTCTGGATTTGGGGACATGCGGATCCCAGTGGGAATGGGAATGGTTTGGGGAATGGGAATGGTTTGGAATGGGGCTGTTTTTGGGATTTGCACATCCCGCTGGATTTGGGAACACAGATCCCAACAGAAATGGTTTAGGATGGGTTCTTTTGGGATTTGTGTGTCCCTCTGGATTTGGGAACACAGATCCCAACGGGAATGGTTTGGAATGGGGCTGTTTTTGGGATTTGCACATCCCGCTGGATTTGGGAACACAGATCCCAACAGAAATGGTTTAGGATGGGTTCTTTTGGGATTTGTGTGTCCCTCTGGATTTGGGAACACGCAATCCCAGTGGGAATGGGAATGGTTCGGGATGGGTTTTTTTGGGATTTGTGTGTCCCTCTGGATTTGGGAACGCAGATCCCAACGGGAGTGGTTCGGGATGGGGCTGTTTTTGGGATTTGCACGTCCCCCTGGGTTTAGGGACACGCAGAGCTGCTCCCTGGGAAAGCTCCAGGAACGACAACAGGGCTCAAACCCCGGCGGTGGGCGACACGGAGGGGACGAGGCGGTGACAACCCCTCCCCTCCCTCCGCGGGGGCGGGAAAGTACCGGCAGAAAACAACCAACGGAATGAACGGAAGCTCCAAGGAAACCCGGGGTGGGGGTCGCGGGGCGAACCCCTGAATATCAGGGGACGCCGGTGAGGTACCCGCGGAGCCCTGCCCGCCCTAGACGTGCGTCTGCATGCGCTGCTGGAAGCGCTGCCCGTAGTCCGAGTGCTGCGAGGTGTAGGAGAAGCGCGCGGCGCTGCCGAACTTGCCCACGGCCTCGTAGGCGTCGTAGGCGCCGCGCTCCAGCCCCGCGGCCGCGCCGAAGCCCAGCCGGTAGGGCGGGAAGGCCGCGCCGCCCGGGAAGGCCGCGCCGCCCGCGTAGTTCTCGTAGGACAGCTGGCTGGCCGTGTCCCCCGCCGCCGTCCCCGCCGCCGCCGCCTCCGCGGGGAACTCGGGGCCGCCGCGGGGGTAGGAGCTGAGCTGGGCGTAGCCGCTGGAGTGCGACAGCCGCGAGGGTGGCCGCGCCTCGAAGCGGCCGGGGCCGGGCGCGCGGTAGTCGCCGTAGAGGACGGAGCGCGAGGCCGGCCGGTCCTCGTGGGCGCGGACGTTGTAGTAGCCGTTGGTGGGGTCCTGGAGGCGGGGGGAGAAGAACCACGGGGAAAATCCAGTGGGTTTTGGGAATTCCGGGGTTGGGTGGGGGGTGTGAAGGGGGGGTTGGTGTGGGGAAGGGCGTGGGGTGGTGGGAATGGAGGGTGGGGGGTCCTCTGGGATTGTTTGGGAGGGTGGGAATCCTTTGGGATTTCCGGGGAGACGGGAATAGGGCAGGGCTGGATTTCGTGGAATTCTGGATCTCTTGGAATTACGCTATATCGAGGTTGGAATGGACACACCAAAATCATCCAAAATCCCACCCTGTCCCTTGGGAGCCTTGTCCAAACACTCCTGGAATTTTTGGGGCTGTCCCCATTCCTTTGGGAACTGCTCCAGAGCCTGACCCCCCTTTTTCCCTCAAATCCATCCCAAATCCCTCCTCAGAACATCTCCTTCCTTCCCCGCGATCTCATCCCCGATCCCGGAGATCCGAGCTGTGCATTCCCAAAATTGCCCCTCCATCCCAACAATTCCACCTCCTCACGCCTGAAATCCCTGGAGTTTTCCACCCATTCCAGGGGGGGAAAAAAAAAAAATTTGGGATCTGCCCCTCTCTTCCCACCCTAAAATCCCGGCGGGACCGGACCTTGAGCTCGTACTCCTCGCGGGTGTCGATGGTGTCGCAGCGCAGGTCCTGCTTCAAGTCCACGTCATCCTTGAACGACTGGAAAACCCACGGGAATATGGAATTATGGAATTATGGAACGGGATGGGCGGGGAGGAACCTTGAGACCAATCCCGTGGTGGGAAGGGGCGGCTCCCGATAGCCCAGGTGGATCCAAGGTGGAGCTGGGCGCTTCCAGGGATGGGGAATCCGTGGGAACATGGAATCCGTGGGATCAGGGATGGGGAATCCATGGGATCATGGAATCCATGGGATCAGGGATGGGGAATCCATGGGGTCATGGAATCCATGGGATCAGGGATGGGGAATCCATGGGATCATGGAATCCATGGGATCAGGGATGGGGAATCCATGGGGTCATGGAATCCATGGGATCAGGGATGGGGAATCCATGGAATCAGGGATGGGGAATCCATGGGATCATGGATGGGTCCAGGACTGATCCCTAAAATCCCGTTAAACCGGCCCAGGGAACGCTGTAATTCTTTGGGATGGAAAAGACCCCAAAGATCCTTAAAGATCCGAGGGCAGGGACGTTCCCACCATCCCGGGTGGCTCCGACCTGGCCCTGGGGACACTCCCAGGGTTGGGGACACACCCAGGGCTGGGGACACTCTGAACCAGCAGCTCCCGGCCATCCCAGGTGACAATTCCCTGCCCAGATCCCGGTGTCCCCGTGTCCCTCACCGAGTAGATGGCCTTCATGACGCGGGTGGCCGTGGACACGCTGGCCGTGTCCTCCTCCCTGTCCCCATGCAGCGTCAGCGGCTCCCGGTTCACCGTCTCCACCTTGATGTCCAGCTTGCGCAGCGTGACGTCCTTGCGGCCTGCCAGGCGACCACAGAGTGACCACGGAGTGACCACGGAGTGACCACAGAGTGACCATGGAGTCACCACCATAGAGACACCCAGAGTGACCCCTGAGTGACCACAGAGTGACCATGGAGTAACCCCCAAAGAGACACCCAGAGTGACCACTGAGTGACCACTGAGTGACCATGGAGTCACCACCAAAGAGACACCCAGAGTGACCATGGAGTGACCACAGAGTGACCACTGGGTGACCATGGAGTCACCACCAAAGAGACACCCAGAGTGACCACAGAGTGACCGTGAAGTGACCCCAGAAGAGACACCCATAGTGACCACAGAGTGACCACAGAGTAACGACAGAGTGACCCTAGAGTCACCCCATAGAGACACCGTGACCCCTGAGTGACCGCAGAATGACCGCTGAGTGACCTGCACAGAGACACCCAGAGTGACCCCGGCGTGACCCCAAGGCCGCCCCGCCGTCCCCACTCACTTCCTTTGCGGCGCCGGTAGAGGAAGCAGGCGAGGGCCACCAGGCAGCTGATGAGGAGGATGCTGGCCCCGATGGTGGCCCCGGCGATGATGCCCACGGGCAGGACCTCTGCGGGGAAACGGCCGCTTGGGGACGAGGGCAGCGCCACAGCCAGGCCCCCCATCCCAGCATCCCCCCGGAACGCGGCTCGCAGGAGAATTGTGGGGTCACCCAGTCCGAGACGGGACCAATCCCCAGCTGGTCACCCACAATTCCAGGAATCCCTCGGAGAGCCCAACCCCATCCAAGGCCTCACCACCTTTTCCAGGAGGAATTCCCCCAAATTTTCAACTCGAGGTCACCCAGAGCTGTCCCCAAGCTCCCTGCCGGTGTCACCTTTGCCCAGCCCAAAATTGTCCCAACTTGAACCAATTCGGCCCAACTTGAGGCCACCCAAATTGTCCCCAAGTTCCCTGCAGGTGTCACCTTTCTCCTCCAGCTGCATGATGGCCATGCCTGGCCCAAGTTTGTCCCAACCCAACCCAACTCGAGGCCACCAAAGCTGTCCCCAACCTCCCTGCCACTGTCACCTTCGCCCAGCCCAAAGTTGTCCCGACTTGTCCCAACTTGAACCGGCTCGACCCAACTCGAGGCCACCCAAAGCTGTCCCCATTCTCCCTGCCGGTGTCACCTTTCTTCTCCAGCTGCATGATGGCCATGGTGGGCCCGAAGTTTTCCCAACCCAACCCAACTGGAGGCCACCCCGATTGTCCCCAAGCTCTCTCTGGGTGTCACCTTTCTCCTCGAGCTGGATGATGGCCGTGCCTGATCCAAAGGTGTCCCAACCCAACCCAACTTGAGACCATTCCCTGTCACCACAGCTGTCCCCAGGCTCCTCTGGGTGTCACCTTTCTCCTCGAGCTGGATGATGGCCGTGCCGGGCCCGAAGCTGTCCCAACCCAGCCCAACTGGAGGTCACCCAAAGCTGTCCCCAAGCTCTGTCCCATGTCACCTTTCTCCTCGAGCTGGATGATGGCCGTGCCGGGCCCGAAGCTGTTCCAGGCCGTGCAGTTGTAGCGCGTCTGGAAGTCGGCGTCCATGACGTTCTGGATGCTCAGCGTGGACAGCACGCCGCTGCCCGTGTTGCTCCTCTCCACCGTGTAGCGCTCCAGCGTGCCCGCTTCCAGAATGTTCTCCTTCCACGCCCAGGCCTGCAGGGAGGGGCTGGCTCAGCGCCGGGGTCGGGGACGTTTCCCGTTGACAGAAAAAATCCTGTGCTCGTTTTATTCTGTTTTATACTGGGGTTTGTGTGTTATTCTGATATTAATACAGTTGTCGTTATTTAATTTAATATTATTTATTTAATATTATTTTATATTATTTATTTGTTTTATGTTTATAAATTGTATTCTAAGTATATCTATAATATATTAATATATATTACTTATATATATATTACAATATATATCGTATTCTAAGTATATATATATTAATATGTATTACTTATATTTTCATTATATAAAATTTTCATTTTTATTATATTTCATATATATATTAATATGTATTACTTATATTTTCATTATTAACCTATTTTGTATTTGTAAATAACTGTATAAATATAGAGATTTATTCATATTATTTTATATTATATATTTATTATACTATAAATATAAATATTTATATTTATATATTATAAATATGAATATAATATTTTATATTTTACATTTATTCATGTTGTATTTAATCTGTTTGATATTTGTAAATTATAAATATGTTAATACGCATTAATTGTAATATATCTTTGTAAAATAATTTGGTTTATATTTATAAATAATTTTATAAATTTCTTAAATATTACCTATTTATTCACCTATTTATTCTACACTATTTTATATTATTTATTTTACATTTACAGATTATACTTAGTAGATAAATATAACCCTAGGACATACTTAATTATAAATATATATTAATATATATTTACTTGTATCAATATTTATAGATGTGTGTTTATATATTAATATGTTTATCCTAATGTATCTTTAATTATAAAATTTAATAATTAAAAATGGGGCGATTTTATTTTTTGGGGTTTCTGGGGGCGGGGGGACTCACGATGCGGTCGGGGGGCGGCGTGCTGCCGATGAAGCACTCGACCTTGCCGCGGTCGCCGCGCACGGCGTACTGCACCGGCTCGCTGGAGATGATCGGGGGGCCTGGGAGACGGAATTTGGGGTGGTCCGGGGGGGAAACGGGAATTTGGGGTGTTCCAGCAGGGGAATGGGAATTTGGGGTGGTCTGGGAGGGAAATTGGGAATTTGGGGTGTCCCAGGGCGATCCAAGCAGAGGAAATTCCTGGGGCTGTGTCCAGGCCGGGCCAGGACTGAGGGATTGGAGGATAAAATTCCCTGTTTTAGCTGGAACTGGGGGAGGGGCTCGGGATCAGGGGTTTAAGGGGGATAAAATTCCCTGTTTTAGCTGGAATTGGGAGAACCTCCCACAGGAAATTCCAGGTTGAAATTCCTGGAATTCCTGGCCCCTGACCCCCATTCCCTGGAAGGAGGGATGGTGTGGAAAGTCTCTTTCCAGGATTTATTCCCTTCCCGTGATCCCTTTTTGCCCTTCCCCTTAATCCTCAGTCCCAAACCCAACGAAAACCCCCAAATCCCGCTTCCCCCCCAATCCGCGCCGCCCCAATCTGTAAAAATTTAAAATTCCCTCCGCTTCCCCCGACCGAAAACGACCGAAACAGAGACTTTTTGGGGGACGCCTGGACCCTGCCCGTTCCCAGGGAACCCCGGGAGGTTTTGGGGGCGTTTCTGGGGTTTTTGGGGTCGCTGACCGTTGACGAAGAGGGTGACCTCCCTCTCGCCCACGCCGATCCTGGGGACGATGGCCTTGCAGACGTACTGGCCCGCGTCCGCCTGCGTCACCGACTTGAGGTACAGCTGGTTGCTGTTGCTCAGGACCTGCGGGGACAGGAGGGGACACTTGGGGACAGCCAGGAGGGGACACTTGGGGACAGCCAGGAGGGGACGCTTGGGGACAGCTGGGAGGGGACACTTGGGGACAGCCGGGAGGGGACATTGGGGACAGCCAGGAGGGGAGACTTGGGGACAGCCGGGAGGGGACGCTTGGGGACAGCCAGGAGGGGACGCTTGGGGACAGCCGGGAGGGGACACTTGGGGACAGCCGGGAGGGGACATTGGGGAGGGGAGACTTGGGGACAGCCAGGTGGGGACACTTGGGGACAGCCGGGAGGGGATATTGGGGACAGCCGGGAGGGGACGCTTGGGGACAGCCAGGTGGGGACACTTGGGGACAGCCAGGAGGGGACATTGGGGACAGCCAGGAGGGGAGACTTGGGGACAGCCGGGAGGGGACGCTTGGGGACAGCCAGGAGGGGACGCTTGGGGACAGCCGGGAGGGGAGGCGGGACGTGCCCCAGAGCGCAGCGGGCTGGCCCTGAATCCTTCCCGCGGGAATCCCGACCCCGGTCCCCGTTTCTGGGGGGTTTTGGGGTGTGGAGGGGGCACGGAGGAATGGTGGGGGTGTTCAGGGGTCACGTTCGACCCCAATCCCAACCCCAATCCAAACCCCAAACGCCAATCCCGCATGCCAACCCCAATCCCAAATCCAATCCAAACCCCATTCCCGAATCCAAACCCAATCCCAACCCCAATCCTGAATACTAAACCCAATCCAAATCCCAATCCCAAACCAAACCCCATTCCTAAATCCCAATGCCAAACCAAATCCAAATCCCAACTCCAATCCCAATCCCAATCCCAATCCCGAATCCCAATCCCAACTCCAATCCCAACCCCAATTTCCATTTCCAGGGAGTTTTGGGGGGGACACAAAGCCACAGCGGGGCCATTCAGGGGTTCTGACCCCAATCCCGACCCCAATCCCAATGGGAATCGTGCCGAAATTCCCCAATCCCATCCCCCCAGTGTGACCCCGGAGAGCGGCTCCGGGGGATTTTTGGGAAGGGGGAGCCACCCCTGAGGAAGGGCTGACCCCAAAACTGGGGAGCAGGGAATGGGAACTGCCCAGGATGGGGCTTGTTTTGGGATTTTTTTGGGGGATTATCTTTGCGATTTTTTTGGGGGTTTTTTTTGGGGTTTGCTTTTTTTTGGGGAATTTTTTTTGGGTTTTTTAAATTTTTTTTTTTTTTGTTGATTTTTTTTTTTGTTTTTTTTTTTTGGGGATTATTTTTGGGGGTTTTTTTTGGGGTTTGCTTTTTTTTGGGGAATTTTTTTTGGGTTTTTTAAATTTTTTTTTTTTTTGTTGATTTTTTTTTTTGTTTTTTTTTTTTGGGGATTTTTTTGGGTGATTATCTTTGCGATTTTTTTGGGGATTTTTTTTGGGGGGATTTCGGGACACCTGGAGCCCCCCTGACCCCGCCAGGACGAGGAACCTTCCGGAAGCCCCAGGAAGGGGGTCCTACCATGTTGGACTCCTTCTTGGTCCAGGTGAGGGTCAGCGGGGGGTTCCCCGACCACACGCAGGTCAGCGTGACGTCGGAGCCGATGTCCGTCACCGTGGGCTTGGGGTCCACCACGATCCGGGGGGCGACTGGGGGGCGACACGGGGACAGAGGCAGGGCTGGGGCGCGGGGAGGGGGTTCGGGGCCGGCTCGGGGGCCGGGGCGGCTCGGGGTCACTCACAGTGCACGTCCACCAGCGTGCTGACGTTGGTGCTGCCGATGTCGTTGTGCACCTCGCAGGACACGGGCTCCGTGAAGAAGGTGTAGTCCACCTGCGTGTCGTACCTGTTCTCCTTGGCCTCCTCGATGATCACCCCGCCCTTGGCCCACCTGGGGACACCGGGGACACCGTGGGACCCCGATCCCGATCCTAAACCCCAATCCCCGTCCGAAACCCCGATCCCGACCCTAATTCCCAATCCCAATCACCCTTTCCAAAGGGTTTTGGGGAGGTGACACAGAGCCATGTTGGGCACATCCGGGGACACCGTGGAACCCCAATACTGATCCGAAATCCCAATCCTGATCCTAATTCCCAATCCCGATCCTAAATCCCAATCCCAATCCTAATTCCCAATCCCAGTCACCATTTCCAAAGGGTTTTGGGGAGGGGACACAGAGCCATGCTGGGGACATTCAGGGACACCGTGGGGCCCCAATCCTGATTCCCAATAACCCCCACTTTGGCCCCCAGGTTGGGGACATCCGGGGACACTGTGGGACCCCAATCCCGATCCTAAATCCCAATCCCGATCACCATTCCCAGGGGGTTTTGGGGAGGGGACTCAGAGCCAAGATGGGGACATTTGACCCTAATCCCGATTTCCAATCCCAATTTCCAATCTCAATTTCCAATCCTGGAGGGTTTTGGGAAAGGAAGGGGACACAGAGCCAGGGTGGGGACATTGGGTGACCCCAATCCCATGGATTTTGGGAAGGGGAGGGGACACAGAGCCAGGGTGGGGACGCTGGGTGGCCCCAGGTGACCCCAACCCCAATCCCATGGATTTAGGGAAGGGGAGGGGACACAGAGCCAGGGTGGGGACGCTGGGTGGCCCCAGGTGACCCCAGCCCCAGTGCCGGGGGTTTTGGGGTCACCTGTAGCCCTTGATCTCGGGGTTGGCCGTGGCCATGCAGGTGAACACCACCCGCTCGCCCTCCTGCACCGTCTGCGGCTGGATGGACAGGGTCACCGTCGGGGGGTCTGTGGGGACAGGGCCGGCTCAGGGGGGCTCGGGGGACACCCAGGGGTCCCCAGAGCTCCGTCCCGTCCCTGTCCTCGTGGAGACCCTCGGGCGCTCCCGGGGCTGTCACCCGCTGTCCCCTCCCGCTGGTGGCCGCCCCTTCCCGCAGCAGCCAGCGGAGGTCGGTGTTGGCCACCGGGACCCGGCCCTGCCTCTCCCACCTGCGACACCCCAAAAGCCCCCAAAATCCCCCCCAAATCCCCCCAGATCCCCATCCACCTCCCCACCCCTCCCAACCCTGGTGTCCCCCTGTCCCCATGTCCAGTGTCCCGTGTCCCATTGTCCTGGTGTCCCCATGTCCCATGTTCCCCGTGTCCCCCCGTGTCCCCGGTGTCCCTGTCCCACTGACAGTGCACGTTGAGCCTGATGAAGGCTCATGTCCCCATGTCCCCAGTGTCCCCCCGTGTCCCTGGTGTCCCTGTCCCACTGATGGTGCACGTTGAGCCTGACGAAGGCTCATGTCCCCCGTGTCCCCCTGTCCTTGTCCCTGTGTCTGTCTCTGTCCCACTGACGGTTCAGCCTGACGAAGGCTCATGTCCCCATGTCCCCATGTCCCCAGTGTCCCCGGTGTCCCTGTCCCACTGACGGTGCACGTTGAGCCTGACGAAGGTCTCCTTGCCGGCGGGCACGGCCTCGTTGGAGCTGCGGCAGGAGAAGACGCGGCCGATGTCCAGGTCCGTGGGGTTGATGGCCAGCAGGCTCGTGGTGCTCTCGCGCTTGCCATCGGCCAGCACCTCCTGCGGGGACAGGGACAGCTCCAGGGGGCTGGGGACACCGGCAGGGGACAGCTCCAGGGGGCTGGGGACAGGGACAGGGGACAGCTCCAGGGGCCTGGGGACAGCTCCAGGGGACAGCTCCAGGGGGCTGCGGACAGGGACAGCTCCAGGGGGCTGGGGACACTGGGAGAGGACAGCACCTCCTGCGGGGACAGGGACAGCTCCAGGGGGCTGGGGACACCGGCAGGGGACAGCTCCAGGGGGCTGGGGACAGGGACAGGGGACAGCTCCAGGGGGCTGGGGACAGCTCCAGGGGACAGCTCCAGGGGGCTGCGGACAGGGACAGCTCCAGGGGACTGGGGAGAGGGGACAGCTCCAGGGGACTGGGGACACTGGGAGAGGACGGCCACCACACTGCAGTGTCCCCATCCCGTGCTGGTGACGGTGCCGTCCTGCTGCAGCCCGTCATGGAACTGGGTGATGGTGGCAGGGGACCAGGGGGGACAGAGGGGACAGGGGTGACATTTCTGGGGACACTGGGGACACTGGGGAGAGGGGCCGGCCATACCGTGCTGGTGACAGCGCCGTCCTGCTGCAGCCCGTCGCGGAACCAGGCGATGGTGGCCGCGGGTTTGGCGCTGCGGGCGCGGCACGTCAGGTTGTAGGGGGTCCCCGCCCTCAGCAGGATCTCGGGGGCGCCGTCGATCGTGGGGTCCTCCGGGGGGACTGCCGAGGGGACAGAGGGGACACCGGCTCGGGAGGGACGCCCTGGTGGTGGGGAGGGGGCAGAGGGAATGGGCAGGGGACCCCGGGAATGGGGAGGAGACATGAGAGGCCCTGGAGGACACAGTGGGGGGACATTGGGGACACGGGACTGTGTGGGGCACTGGGAACCGTGTGGGACACTGGGGACACATGACCATGGGGGACACGGGAGCGTGTGGGACATTGGGGATCATGTGGGACATTGGGGACACATGACCACGGGGGACACTGGGGACCGTGTGTGGCACTGGGGACCGTGTGTGGCACTGGGGACAGCGGGGCGCGGGCCAGCCCTCACTGAGCACGGTGAGCTTGGCGCGGCGCGAGCGCAGCGCGGCCTCGGTGGCCTGGCACTCGTAGACGGCGTCATCGGAGAGCTCGGCGTCGCGGATCTCCAGGTTGTACTGGCCCGAGTCGGCCGTGCCCACGATGCGGTACCGGGGCCACGCTGCGGGGACAGCGCGGGGTCACCGGGGACACCGACCCCGCAGGGACACCCCCACCCCGCAGGGACACCCCGATCCCTCAGGGACACCCCCACCCCACAGGGACACCCCAATCCCGTGGGTCACACATGGGGACACACCAATCCCACAAGGACCCCGATCCCTCAGGGACACCCCGATCCCACGCCCAGGCTGTGGGGCAGCACTGGGAAGTCACACGGGGACACCCCCAGAGCCAGCCCCCCTTTCCCAGGTACCCTTCGGCCCTGCCCCGTGGGTGTCACCCCAGGGCCACCCCTCCCCTCCCGGTGTCACCCCGGGGCCCCCCCTGTGCCTCGGCACCTTTGAGGCCCTGGCCCATGCCCAGGGCCAGCCCGTCCTTGGTCCATTGCACGATGCCGGAGTAGTTGAGCACCACGCAGGACAGGACGATTCTCTGCCCCGCCACCACCGTCTGGTCCTCGGGCTCCTCCACGAAACGCGTCTGCACCGCTGCGGCCACGGCACCGCCGTCACCACCGGGCACGGCACCGCCGTCACCCCCAGGATCCCCCCGAGACCCCCCAGGATCCTCCCGGGATCCCCCGGAGCTGCTCAGGATCCCCCCAGGATCCCCCCGGAGCTCCCCACGACCCTCGGAAGTCCCGGGGACCCCCAAACGCCCCCAGCCCGGGCCCCGCCGCTCCCGCTGCCGATCCCGGCTGTTGGGGATCGATCCCGGGGTCACGCGGCCCGCGGGAATCGAGCGGGACACCGCCGTCACCACCGGGCACGGCACCGCCGTCACCACGGGCCACGGTGCCACGGTCACCACCGGGCACGGCGCCGCGGTCACCACGCAGCGCCCGGCACCGCGGCACCGCGTGCGCTCGAGCGGGATGTGACAGGGACAGGGACAGGGACAGGGACAGGAGCGGGGGAGGGCTCGGGATGCGGCCGTGCCCTGGGGCAGGGGGCGGGCAGCGCGACCCCTGCTTCTCCCGGCTCCAGTCCCGGGGTTTTTATTCTGGAATGTGGCACGGAACGGAACGGAATGGAACAGCTCAGAACGGCACAGCTCGGGGTCCCCGTCCCGCTCCTCTCCTTCTGAACCCCCAAAATCCACAGGCTCCGGGGGCCCTCCTGCTTTTGATCCCGAAAATAAAACCCCCGGCGGCTCCAAACGTCCCCAAAAAACCCCAAAATCCCCGTGTGGGGGCGTCCGCTGCTCTTCCCGGCATCCCAGGATCCCTGGGAGCCCGGGATCCTCGGGATGGGGAATCCAGGGATCCCCAGGGTGGGGAATCCAGGGATCTCCGGGATAAAACAGCCCCAAATCCCTGGGATGGAAAATCCAGGGATCCTTGGGATGGGGAATCCGGGGATGCCCGGGATAAAACAGCCCGGGGTGCCCCGGTGCCGCCCCCGCCCCAGGGTGGGCAGCGGCTGCGAGAATTTTGGGGGAAGATGAAGGAGAAGCGGGGGCAGGAGGGAGCGGGGCGAGATCAAAGGGGGGAAAGTGCCGGGAGGGGGAGGGGAGGGAGATCAGAGCGGGAGAGGGGGCGGGGAGGACCCGCAGCCCGCGGGCACCGGGCTGGCACCGGGCCGGTACCGGGCTGGCACCGGGCCTGCGGGGGTGGGCCCGATTTTGGGGGAGATCGAGGGGAAAACGGGCACTGAGCTGGCACCGGGATTTTGGGGGAGATTGGGGGGAAAACGGGCACCGAGCTGGCACCGGGATTTTCGCCCCCGCCCCAGGGTGGGCAGCGGCTGCGAGAATTTTGGGGGAAGATGAAGGAGAAGCGGGGGCAGGAGGGAGCGGGGCGAGATCAAAGGGGGGAAAGTGCCGGGAGGGGGAGGGGAGGGAGATCAGAGCGGGAGAGGGGGCGGGGAGGACCCGCAGCCCGCGGGCACCGGGCTGGCACCGGGCCGGTACCGGGCTGGCACCGGGCCTGCGGGGGTGGGCCCGATTTTGGGGGAGATCGAGGGGAAAACGGGCACTGAGCTGGCACCGGGATTTTGGGGGAGATTGGGGGGAAAACGGGCACCGAGCTGGCACCGGGATTTTGGGGGAGATTGGGGGGAAAACGGGCACCGAGCTGGCACCGGGATTTTGGGGGAGATTGGGGGGAAAACGGGCACTGAGGTGGCACCAACCCAGCTGGGAATGGCCCCGGATTTTGAGGGAAATCGAGGCGAAAATGGGCACTGGGATAGCACCGGGATTTTGGGGGAAACGGGCACCGGGATGGCACCGACCCAGCCCAGAATGGCCCCGGATTTTGGGGGACACCGAGGGGAACCGGGCACAGCCGGGGATGTCACACCCTGCGCCATCCGTGCCACCATTCCCGGTGTCGCTGTCCCCTGCCGAACTGGCACTGGTGGCCCCTGCCCTGCGTGCCACCATCCCTGTGTCCCCACGCGGTGTCCCCAAGCCCGAAACGCCAGCGCCGGGTCCCCGCAGTGCCAGTGCCACCTCCCAGTGCCACCCCCGCAGTGCCACCTCCCAGTGCCACCCCCGCAGTGTCACCCCCGCAGTGCCACCTCCCAGTGCCACCCCCGCAGTGCCACCTCCCAGTGCCACCTCCCCAGTGCCACCTCCCCAGTGCCACCTCCCCGCGCCAGCCGCGGTGACAAACCGCCGGCGGGGCTGGTGGCGATTGTCACAGCCGGAGCCACCTCCCGCCACTGTCCCCGTCCCTCCTCCCCTGGCAGGGACCGGGATGGCGGGGAGGTGGCGGTGCCAGCCCTGCGGTGTCGCCACGCTGGTGGCGCGGGTTTGTTTGCTCTCACGAGCCGCGGGGGTGGCGGCGACAGCCGAGGTGACACTGCGCCCAGGTGACAGCGGTGGCCCCGCGGCCGGCGGGGGGACAGGCACGAGGTGGCGCCTGGCTGCCGCGTCCCTCCTTGTCGCCACGGCCGCTTGTCACCGTGTCCCCCTCAGCGCCGTGCTGTCGGTGCCACCGGGCCACCCCGTGTCACCGTGCTCCCCTTGCCGCTGTGCCCCCCCCGCTTTGTCACCATGGTCCCCTCCCGTGTGGCAGCACGTGCCTGTGCCCGCGGGGATGTCCCCCTGTCCCCAAACTCGCCACGCCAATGTCCCCAAACCCTGCTGTCCCCACGGCAATGTCCCTAAACCGGGCAGAGCCAGGACCCTGATGGAGCTCCCCGTGTGCCCTCTCCCGGGGTTTTATCCCCTTCTTCTCCCCCTTTTCCCCCCTATTTTTTTCCATTTTCCCCCATTTTTCCCTTTTCCCCCTCATTTCCCCCCATTTTCTTCCACATTTCCCCCCCTTCTTTTCCTATTTTTTCCCTTTTTCCCTCCCCTCCTTATTTTATCTCTCCCTCCTCCCCTCCCCTCTCCTCGAGGCTTTTAAATTTAAAGCCTTTCCCCTCTTCCCTTCCCGAGCTGCTCGCTGCTATTTTTATGTGGAAAAAAAAACCAAAAAACCCACCAAAAAACAAAAAACCCAAAAAAAAACCCCAAACCCAAAACAGGCGAGGGGGGAGGAGAGTTCTAAAAAAACCCAAACAATCAAATAAAAAAGCTCTTCCCCGCCTTGGTTCGGGTTGGGGTTTTTTTGGGGTTTTTTGGGTTTTTTTGGGTTTTTTCCCCCCTTTCTTTCTGCGGGGAAGAAAAGAGGATTTGGGTTCCTTGGGGCGGAGAGGGGACAGGCCAGGGCAGGTCCGGCTGTCCCTGCTGCTGTCCCCGCTGCTGTCCGCTGTCCCCGCTGCTGTCCCCTGTCCCCGCTGCTGTCCCCTGTCCCCGCTGCTGTCCCCTGTCCCCTCTGCTGTCCCCTGTGTCGCTGCTGTCCCCGCTGCTGTCCCCAGCGCCAGCCGATGGCACCGGGGGCACCACGGGGTGGGGACAGCGAGGGGACCTGTGGGGTGGGATTTATGGGATCCGTGGGATTTATGGGATCCATGGGATCCCTGTTGGGGGATTTATGGGATTTGTGGGATCCAGGGGATGGGATGGGATTTATAGGATGGGATTTATGGGATCCATGGGATCCCTGGGATGGGATTTATGGGATTTGTGGGATCCAGGGGATGGGATGGGATTTATAGGATGGGATTTATGGGATCCATAGGATGGGATTTATGGGATGCAATTTATAGGATGGGATTTATGGGATCCATGGGATCCATGGGACCCATGGGATGGGATTTATGGGATGCGAAGGGACGGGATTTATGGGATTTGTGGGATCCATGGGATGGGATGGGATGGGGTTTATAGGATGGGATTGATGGGATTTATGGGATGGGATCCATGGGGTCTATGGGATGGGATGGGATGACTGGGATGGGATTTATGGGATTTCTGGGATGGGATTTCTGGGATGGGATGGGGTGGGGTTTATGGGATAGGATGGGGTGGGATCCATGGGATGGGATTTATGGGATAGGATGGGATGGGGAGGGGTCCCGAGCTGGAGACCCCGGCAGTGCTGGGAATGGGGGGTCCCATCCCGATGGGGATTTGGGATCCTGTTTCACCAGGGATTGATCCCATTTTCCCGGGAATTCTGGGCCCGTTTTCCCGGGAATTCTTGGGAATTCAGTTCCCAATACTGCCGGGAATTCGGGATCCCGTTTTACCAGGAACCGATCCCATTTTCCCGGGAATTCCAGTCACATTTTCCAGGGGTTTCCAGCCCCATTTTCTTGGGAATTCCAGCCCCGTTTCCCTGAGATTTACAGACCTGTTTTCCCGGGAATCCCGGCCCTGTTTGCCTGGGAATTCTGGCCCCATTTCCCCGGCAATTCCAGCCCTATTTTCCCGGGAATCCCAGCCCCGTTTTCCCGGGAATGCCGGCCCCGTTTTCCCGGGAATCCTGGCCCCGTTTTCCCGGGAATTCCAGCCCCGTTTTCCCAGGACTTCCAGCCCCGTTTTCCCGGGAATCCCAGCCCCGTTTTCCCGGGAATGCCGGCCCTGTTTTCCCGGCCCGCGCTGCTCGGGCTCCCGTCGCGCTCCCCGCGCTCCCCCCGCGCCAGGAGCTATTTTGGGATCGGGAATTTGGGACTCCGGGCCCGGGAGGGGACGCGAGGCCCCCGCGTGTCCCCAGGGCTGGCCGCGACCCTCGCGACGGCAATTCCCAACTCCCGGGGGTCGGGATGCCCCCAGCGCCGTCCCCCCTCCCCAAAACCCCGGCCCGGTGAAATTCCCGGGAATTCCTGGGATTCCTCGGCTCCCGGCTCGCGGAATTCCCGGATTTTCCGGGCCGGGAAGGAATTCCCGGTTCCAGCCCCGGCTGTCCCCGCGCACCGGGACGGCTCCCGGGAATTCCCGGGATGCGCCGTGCGGGGGTCGCGGCGCGGTGTCCCCCCAGCCCGGGGACACCCCGGGCCCTTCGGTCACCCCGGCCCCGCCCCCTCTAATCCCGCGGGAATTAAAAATTCCAGCCCTTAATTCCCCGTGCGCCGAGGCCCCGCCCCCGCCAGAGCCGGGAACGGGAGTGGGAATGGGAACGGGAATGGGAATGGGAATGGGAACGGGAACGGGA